TGTAATCTAATTTTAAACCTATCCAATTTTCAATCCATTTTAAGGGTATTTTTGTTTTTCAATTTTAAAAAAAAAAAAAAAAAAAAAAAAAGAAAGAAAGAAAAAGAGAAAGAGAGAGAGAGAGAGAGAGTTTTTCTCTAATGCGGATGTCTGCATGGTGGAAAAGTTCGGTCGTGTGCTTCCAGCTTCTTTTGTGCAGGTGGATTTGATTTGATACATATATATGGAAAAACATGGTAAGCACATCTTATATAAATATATAATCAGGGGTTTGGGTCTTCCAAAAAAGTATCCTAAAGGTGGGAAGGTGTGCAGAAGAACAAGAAGCAATACTATTGGTTGCTACTGTAAACTTCCCTTCGATATAGACTCTTACGTTACGACTACTATATTCTAGTTATGTACTCACTTACTTTTAAATCTTTACTAAAAACCTAAATTTAAAATAGGTTGTCATGTGAGATAAATTTGTCCTAGTATTATTAATTAAATTACATTATATACCTACCTTCATATTTTATTTATAATTTATTTTCAATCATGTCATTAACTACCTTAATTATAATTAATACTCCCTATTAATAGCATATCAATCACCCAATTTATTTTGGTTGACATTTCCTTTACACATCACCAATCCCTATAATAAACAAACAAAAAATTCCTAAATTACATATCCAATAAATCATGTACCTATAATAAAAATATATATATAAATATGTATATAATATAGGTACTTTATTTACAACAACAACAACAACAACAACAACAACAACAACAAAAAGATCCGTTACTTTGTAATTGAAATTTTTGTAAATAGGTATGGGGAGAGAGATTTTTTTGTCAGAAAATAGGTAAATGTAAAAATGTAGGGCTATTTTGGGAATTTGAAAATTACAATAAATCATATCTTGAGCTTGATAAGGTAACTTGATGAGGTGGATCCTATTCATGGGTTTTTACTTATAAAAAATGGGTTTTATTAATGAGAACAAAAAGTGATGAATTGCAGTTAAGGAAAATTCAATTTGGAGGGGTATGCCAAGTTTACTATTTTTTTTTTAATTTTAGTGCCATATCAGTGATGAACGGGTTCAACTAAGCCAGTATGTTTCCTCAAGCCAAGTGGGTTCCATAAGAACCAAATTCACTTGCAAAAACAAAGATGCAAAGGAGACGACCTAGACTTTAACACCATATGGACATTTGCATTAAAGAAAACTATATATATATAAGTTATTCTCTTATCCGAATATATGCACATTATTATCGTGCAAATGTCATTATAAATGGGGAGGAAAGCATTGAGAGATAGTAGAAAATATAAGGCGTCCGCATGATAATAATGTATGGACATCCGCATAGGAGAATTTACACACACACACACACACACACACACAGCTTCCATTGAGAAATCCCTCAAAAGCTTATTTGAGGGACACCCTTGTAGGGTCTACTCCGCATTGTATTTCACTAATCCAAAATGTCTATTTGGTAGATATTCATTCGAAAATCATTTCTACAAAAAATGACTTGAATCCGATATCATTTGACCACTCAATTAAATTATTGAAAATTTAATACTTTTTTGAAGCACCGTGTTTATTGATTTTGTATGACACAATTAGATGTCTAAACGGTTTCTAATTTGTCTAATTTTTTGCAAGGATGATCTATGAATACTTAAAAAAATAGAGTACCTTAAAGGGCATCCCTCAAATAAAATTATTTAAAAAATTCCTCAATAAAAAGGAACTATATATATATATATACATATAACATGATGTCAATTACTATGCTATAGGAAGTTTTTTTAGAGTGGTGATTTCCCCACTCCTTTTTCTCCTATTTTATCTACTTACACTCCTTTTTTAGTTACACTCCTTTTTTATAACTAAAAAAGGAGTGTAAGTGGATAAAATAGGAGTGGGGAAATCATTGCCCTTTTTTTATAGTACACATCACCTCCAACATGAACTAACAACAAAAAAAGTACCCAATTCCCTGTCTTTTTATACCATTTATCTTATTAATTTCTCTAAGAAGAGTATTAGTTTTGTGACTTTCCGGACCAAGATTAGTTGTTATGGTTTAGTTTTGTGACTCCCTGTTTTTTTAACCAAAAATAGCGCAACGACTGTTTTGAATTAAACTTGAAAACATTAATAAAAGACCATGACCGAGGAAAACAACACCTGCGTATTGGATGTACCTCGCCGGCGTAAACAACTCCTTAATAAAGAACCATATTCTCACTGTACCAAAAGACAATAAACAACCATATTTACATTATTTAAATATTTATGTATTTATGTATTTCTTTTAGTTAAGATGTTTACTTTGCAGATATAGGCTTAACCACGTTGGCTAGAACGGATGTG